CTGGAAACTGAAAATAACCAGGAAACACAACAAAATAAGAATTAAACCACTAAAACTAGAAAACATGGAACAAAGTAAAACAGGATACACAAAAGACAACATAACAGAACCAAGACTATGACACTGTCCAATTTTCCCAAACCCATAATTGCTCTGTTGTTCATAGTCTGGGAGAAATATAAATAACAAAGAAGCATATTTTGCTTGATCAATCAGTTATTATTACCTGTGTGCAGTTATTAAATAGTCTATTTTTCGGCTCCATTTATACATGATTAGCAAACAGCAAACATTTTTTAAATCTTCATGTTGGGCTTTTAACATGTGCCAAGATTTTATGAAATGTCCCAAAACACACCAAACTTGGACAAAAGCTTTAATTTTCAATTCTTTTAAATTTAGGTCGATGACATGAGCTCTTTTGCATTCTGCACCTTCTTTTAATCATAATTGCGACCACAACAATCTAGGACTTGCCAAACAATGATTAAAATATTCTGCTTTGTTAGTCTTTAGATTTTTGGAACATGAATTCTAATATATTTGGGAAAATGTGCATCCTCACAGCTACTCTGACGCATGTTTACGCTCATTTTGGGGAAACTGGTAACGCAGATGATGAGGTGGGGAAAGGATGCTTATTGCATTATGATTGCTCTCAAGCGTTCAGTTTTAGTTAATTCCAAACTTTAATCCTGATTGACTTCGTCAACTCATCTTTAATAGCTACAGCTACGTTAGAGTCCTAACTTGGCATGCAAACAAAAATTCGAATTCTATAGTAAAAGTTTATTTATTAAAAATCTGGTCCATGCGATTAACTAACATCCATTTAAAGTAATTTCTTTCCATCTTGTAGTGTTGCTGTTGTCCACTGGAGGGCGATGTTCATTTTTAAGTGGAACCTCACTAGTATTTGCCAGAGAAGTAATTCCAGAGCGGAGGCATGCTGGAGTAAAAGCATTAACCAGTTGGCAGTACGATCTGGGATTAGTTACACTGTTTAATTGTGACAAGAATGCAGAATTAACTTTTTGAGGATCTGTTTGTAAATATAAACACTTAATAAACTCTAAGTATCGCCTAAATAGCATCCATTTAACTGCACTGCATGGCAGAGCAGCATCAACTTCTCTGGTCTTGCAATTAGCAGAGTTCATGGGAAATGTCAGGTTGTGTGGAGGTTTCTGGAGGACCCAAATGCTGAGATGGAAGTTAATGTGGTTTCTTGCAGATTTAAATTTTAAAAGGTTGGCAAGTGATGCAAAAATCCTAATATAACAAAACACAGAAAATCAGGAGATGTCAGGGAAAACACTCAATAGGAGCTGAGAAACGATGAGCAACCAGCAAGGAGTAACTGAACAGGATGTGTTTATATGTGAGACAGAAATAATGGGAGGGTTAATTAGCAGATGGGGAACAGGTGTGGGCAGAAGAATCTAGGAGGGAGCTAGGAGAAGGAGATGGAAAAGAGGGTAAACAAGAAATACATAAGAACTAAAATACAACCGAAAAACAACTAGAATAACACAAAATGGAAATAAAACCAATGAAAATTCAAAAGGAAAACTTGAACAGAACCAAAACCATGTGAGGGAAGGCTTATGTGTGTTCATGAACCTGCATTTTCACATTATTCTGAGAGCAACCAGACCAGAGCAATGCTAACAGCACAAATGCTCCAGCATGTCAGAGGCACATACTCTGTTTATAATAGTTTTAAATCTCTATACATTGGAAATCTTGTGTTTCACATGTTGTATTTTTCTTTTTTATTCAGTAACCTAATAGATTCCTGTTTTTATACTTTAAATTGGTTTATTAATGTGTGAGAAAACACTTTTATTTATTCAGTCAGTATTAAATACAGACGGCACAACATAGCTGAAACATTTCTTCCCCACATTAAATCTCAGAGGTATGCTCTTTATTCAGATTTTCCGGATTGTTTTTATTTTTTGCCCTCTTTGGAACTGCGTCTTACATTATCTGCATGTCTGAGATATTGCAGCCAACTCTAACAGTGCCTGCAGCCTTGGATGGTATTGTTAATATGAACTGTCCATATATAACATTGTGTTGCCATTTATAATACTTCATTTTATTAGTAAACCTACAGTAATCTGTGGCTTCCGTATATATCTTACTATATTGTAATATCTTACTCATCAACACACCCTTCTGCCTTGAACTGCAGGGTTTTTGCTCTCTTCTCAGTGGTTGCCATTGTTAAATATAAAATGCCAGTGGTCAGCTGGCTCATTTATGTGCACAACAACATTCATTTGGTCCTTTGCATAGAGAACTTGTGGTTAAATTAGGGAAGGGTGCAGTATAAGGCAAAGCAGTTGTGATTTAAAAGAGCAAATTGTGTGTTGGTGAGCTTTCACATGGTGGTTTTATAAATGTATTTTACTTTTGTATACATAAGTTTTTCATATGATTTTAACTGGTTTGAAGCCCAGATTTTGATCACTTCTAAACATTCTGTTTACCTTTTTTTCAGTAATTCAGAGCTGGGCTTTCAGGTGTGATTTGTTTCAAATAACGCCAACAGTGCTTTAAATGTTTTTGTGTGACCTCTTTGATGGGTTGATTATGCACTCTGAGTATTTTTAATAAGTAAATGGTTCACCCGTCAAGATGCTGAGATATTTGAATATGGTTCTCAATTCATATTCATGTTTTTTTTCTACCTTGTACCATGTTCTATAGTTCTTGATGTAATAATTTTTTCTGCCGTTTAGGGCTTGCCATACATTCATGCTTATGACCCTCAGGTTTTTACTAGCATACATTATCATCTCTGTTTATTATCTTCCATTGCTGCTTTTTAGTTTCGTTATTGGGATCTGGTTCTTATGTTTATTTTTGATTATGCTATTTATGTATGTGTTCGCTTTCTGTCCTGCATTCATTTTTGATTCTGCTTCCTCCCATTGCCCCCAGTCACAATTTAAACTCTCAGTTGTTGCCCGTTTTTCACCCATTTTTCTTGCCTTTCCTCTCAGTGTTCCAGGATTTAAGCTGTTGGTGTATATGGATCATCACTGCGATCGTCTGTTTGTTTGTTACTTTTTTGGTACGCTCTATAAATGTTTTTGTAAGTCAATATTATTCTCAATAAAAGCCTTAAGTTCATCATGTCACTCCTGAGGATCGGTTTGTGCCTTGGTCCAGATTCAGAACAACACCTTATTAATAGTATCACAGTTCCAGGATTCCTACCTCTATGATTAATGGCTTTTATTGTAGTTTAGAGACTTAACACCATAAACGATTCTCTACAATAATGCAAAAAATTTTTTAAGTGTTTAGCATAAACTTTTCCCACCTGTTTTAGGGGCATAATAAGTTGGTCCTTACATCGTTAACAAAAATGAGCAGAGCTGGCACTAATACATCCATTCTAGAGCTAATTTTGCATTTTTAAATGTCCAAAATCAGATCAAGATTTTATATCAAAACATACTACTCTCTTTGTGCCTTGGTTGTTTTCCATATAGGCATTATGGCTGAGTGCCCAGGGCAGCATAGCATTAGTGTGGCTGGAGACTTGCTGAAATTCTGTCAGCAGCCAAAGCAAGTAAACAGTTTCTATTCTGGATATCCTGTTAATAGTGTTGGCACCATTTCTTGTGTACAGTGTCCCTATAATATAATTTGTATATACAATGAAGCTCTTTTAAATACATATTATTATGAAAAATAGCTTTTATTAAAGTCATGCCAAAAATTGTGCTTTGCTTGGTTCATGCCTTTCTGTGTAAACCCCATTAGTTCTGCACTCTGAGCAGCATCGCCTCCCTGTGCTGGATAAAAACGTGCATGTCCCCTCCAGGAAGAACCTACCTGGATGCTTGCCAAGTAAACATTTCCTTTAAACAGTGCTGTGTAGTAGAGAGCAATCATTTCTACTCAAATTTGAGACAAAGTAGCTATTCTAGCAGCCAATCTGCACGGTGACAGCAACTATATACATGTCTTTCTTATTTTAGCTAGCGTCTAAGACATGAAAATGTGTTTGTTTTCTTTTTTTGGCTGGGGTTTTGAATCTTGTTCTGCCTTCCTAAAGATGACTCTGAGATAAGGAGAAGCAGGTCACAATGAGGGCAAGTGTGTCATTTTTGATTATTGTTAAGTTCAAGTAAAATCCACTCTCTTGTCAACAGTGGTTATTATTTCTTTGTTATTTTTATTTCATTGTGAAACATCAAGGAGGAGGGTGTTCTGCAGATGAAAAGGCTGGAATCTAAATTTCTTTATTGTCCATTGATACATTTCCCCTTCCTTTCTCTTAAATGGAATAAGGTTGCATGTGCAAGTATGTGTATTTTTCCTTCAAATGTTTTTACTTGTTTTCTGCTAAACTACAAGGAATACTTGTCCAGTGTCCATCCACATGTCCTCATTACCATTTCCCTTTTAATTCCGTAAAAATTCAAAAAATATCCACTGGACTTGGTTTTCTATATATTTTCTATATATTTTTTTCTATAATATTTTTTGAATTTTTATGGAATGACTATGACCTGGATGACTGAGAACCTTCATCAGCATATTTCCCTTTTAAAGACATAAATAGATCAACAGTAAAAAACGGGTAACTCAGTTTGCTGCAGGTTTCCTAGTGGTGAAACATGGCTTTACTCGCTGGGTAAAATAAGGCCAAAGCCATGCAGCCCAAGCATGAGCTAAACTAAGAAAAAGCTCCAGGGTTTGTCTTCTTCACAATGATTTGCTTTTCTGACATGTGGGTTTCCTAAATATCATGCATGCATGGGTGCAGAAATACTAAATCAAATAAGGAAGGAAGCCAGGCATTCCTTCTCTGCCACATCTTCCGCAAGATTATAGATGTTTTATCCACAGACAGAATGAGAGTTTTTTTTTTTCCTCTTTTCTCTCCTCAAACAAAGAGGGTGCCTTGCACATACTTGAAGCTAAAAGCAGGGGAGGGTGTTTGAAAGCTGAGCTGTGTTGAGTTAGGGGGGTTGGCAGGCGGTTCTTGCAGTGACATCCGGGGCTGCGCTCCCATCTTGGGCTATAAATGCAGCATGATCGCCTTCAAGGATCCTTTTCCCCAGATCCAGAGGAGCGCAATCACCAAGAAGAGGCGTGCGCAAAGAACATGGCACCATCCGGAGAAAAGAAAGTAAGGGCAGAAGATGAATGTGCAAACTTTAGTTTTAAGTATTTGAAATATTTTTCTTGTAAACTTTTGTAGCATGCATGAAAAATAACCTTATATTTTTAGTTCTTATTGCGAGTTTCTTGATGCGCACGTAGGGCATTTTGGAGCGCCTGGATGCAGGAGAGGTGGTTGTCGGAGACGGAGGGTTTGTATTCGCCCTGGAGAAGAGGGGTTATGTGAAAGCTGGACCCTGGACCCCCGAAGCTTCCGTCGAATACCCTGAAGCGGGTATAGATCAGTGGCTCCACATTTCTCCATGTATCTTTCCATTTCTGAATGTAGTTGAGTTCATGCGCTCACAGAAAGCGTGTCGTTCCAGTGCGGCAGCTGCACAGGGAGTTCCTGAGGGCTGGATCCAATGTCATGCAGACCTTCACTTTCTATGCCAGCGATGACAAGCTGGAGAACAGGGGGAACACTCAGCGCTTCACTGTGAGTTACTTTCACATGTGTTTTCCAAAAGTATTCACACCTCCTAAACTTGTGCAACTGCAGGTCTGTAGGAGCATTTGTGCTTTTAGAGAGACATCTGTGGAGTTTATTCCTTGCAAAACAGCTTAGTCAGACTCAATGGAGAAGACAGTTTAGTCTTTATTCTACTAAATATATTGTGGATTTAGTTCTTAACTTTGACAGTAGTTCTGACATATGAGTATGCATTGGGGTCTCCAACCCGAGTCCTGGTTTTAGATGCATCCCTGCACAGCTGAATGAAATGAATGGGTCATTGAAAGGCCATTTTCCAAACTGCGTGGCATGTCAAAGAGGTAATTAGGTGATTTGATTCAGCTGACTTGGAACAGGGATGCACATAAAAGCTGTAGGAGAGTAGAGCTTCAGGACCAAAAGTTGGTGACGCCTAAACACCATTGCAATCTGATCTAAATGTTTAGGAGATAAACCACCATCTACTCTTTACTTCTTCTGGACTTTCCCTATATGTTGTCCTGTGCTTAAGAAAAGTCCTTGTATAGCATGATGTTTGCCCCATCTATCACAAACAGAATGGTCTTTTATAAATGGATGTGCAGTGTTGGGTGACCCACTTCATGTTTAGTTTTGGTAGGATTCTCATGTCTTTGTAGGTTTCCATTTGTGCCACTTTTTCAATTTCAGAAGATGGATTTAAATGTCTGCTATTGCTGCATGTGTCTCAGGTTAAATTACACACAGGTTGAGTCAGTTAGAGATGATCAAAATACGTTCATTTCCACCTCAGAGGTTTGGGTTAAACAGAACAAGCTGGTTTTCATGTAAATATATGAAAACCTGGGGGGAAAAAGAACCAGTAAATGCGTATTTATATAATTTGTATTAACTCAAACCTGCTTAGAGGAATTTTAAAATCAAACAGTTTATTATTTGCAGAGTTACACTTTTGAAGTGTATAAAATTGCATTTAAAAAGAACATGACAGTGATGATAGTGTCTAGATATTCTAAACGTTGATTTCAGAAGTTTTATTTTATCAGTGTACGTTGAATGCTGTCATGTTTGTACAAGACATAAACATTTTAATAGACGAGTTCAATCTATGTGGCTTTTGAAATAACTCTATTTTTTATATCTGATAGTAACCGATACCTGGGATGATTGCATCGGTTGAAATCCGATTCCGATCCAACTATTGAATGGATGAACCAGATACCTACTTTAGCCTTGATGTAAACATTGTTTAAAATAAGATAACAAACTAACACTGATATAAATTTATTTTATAACATTTATAAGGTGAGAAAGAAAGAAATAACAGTTCAATGTAAAGTGAACTGGACTTGATATCTGATATTAGATATCAAATGATCCAGGTATCGGATCGGTGCATCTCTTCTGTTATTCTTGCAGAATTTTCCTAACATTTTACAACTCCAGCGTATTTATGTCTGATTAACAAACTGTATAAATGCTGCAAAGAATCCCATTTGTTTATTATTATATTATCTGCTGCAGCTATTACCTTTTCAGTTATTTTGTTCAGAAAATCTAAAAAATTGTATTCGATTATAATAAAATGCAAAAACAGTTAATGGGTCTTAAATATTTATGAAAACCTTTACACTTTAAGCTGCTCTTTGGTCCCAGATTAAACGATAAAGGTTCTTTCTGCTCTGAGGGGAGTTTTTCATTTTTCTCCTCTTGCACTTCAGGGGCAACAAATAAACGAGGCAGCTTGTGATCTGGCCAGGGAGGTGGCCAACGAGGGGGACGCTCTGGTGGCGGGAGGAGTCTCACAGACGCCCTCATACCTCAGCTGTAAGAGCGAGGAGGATGTCAAGGCCATCTTTAAGAAGCAGATCGACGTCTTCGTCAAGAAAAACGTGGACTTCTTGATTGCAGAGGTATGTAAGAAACATCTGATATAAATAAAGGCATGAAATGCTGAAATCAAAGTATTTTATGCTATAAAGTGGGACTTGAACGCTATACTAGACCACAAACCTAACTGTGCCTGATCTTCAAACACAAAGCAGGTCTCTAATCTTGACTATTTCATACTTCCGTCCTTCAAAACATGCCTCTGCTTTTTTCCTGGTCCTTTAAAGCAGCATTATTCTATGAATGAGTCCCTCTCACTAAGACCTCATGCATAAACATTTCTGTATTATTTAGGCTTAAGAAAAAATACCATTGGAGAACTGCAATTGGAGCAAATTTGTACTGCAAACAACTTTCTTCCAGAAGGCATGAGAAAATATCTGCTTGTCTAAAGATGACAAGAAACCAACTCAAGTCTTTTACTTCTTCTGGGTGGAGAAATGTTTCTTTTATATAACAGCTTCTACTTTTGTATTTTAATTTTTCTTTCATTCTCTATTGTTTTACATGCCTAGCATCCCAGTCTTGGATTCATTTTTTTTTTTTTTAAGTTTACCCGTGTTGATGTTTGTCGCCTAAAGGGCAGGAGGTAGCAGCATCTTTTTGTGAAATTTAAGGCAGCATATTCCAGGATTCCCTTCAACTGAAAGATCGAACCTAAAAAAAAGTTAAAGGTATAAACCAGAGGTCTTTAACCTGTAGCTCCTGAGCTAGAATGGCTCTTGATAAAGGTTTAAAAAAAAAAAGAACTAACCATCCATCCATTATCTGACACGCTTGTCTCAATTGGGATAGCGAGGGGTGCTGGTGCCTATCTCCAGCAGCCAATGGGCGAGAGGCGGGTTCCACCCTGAACAGGTCGCCAGTCCATCGCAGGGCAACACAGAGACACACAGGACAAACAACCATTCATGCACACACTCACACCTAAGGACAATTTAGAGAAACCAATTAACCTAACAGTCATGTTTTTGGACTGTGGGAGGAAGCCGGAGTACCCGGAGAGAACCCACGCATGCTCGGGGAGAACATGCAAACTCCATGCAGAAAGACCCCAGGCCGGGAATCCAACCCAGAACCTTCTTGCTGCAAGGCAGCAGTGCTACCCACTGTGCCACTGAGCAGCCTAAGAACAAACTAATGCTTTTCAATAAAGTATATTCACAAATAAAATTTTTCCAATTGAATTTTCAGAACAGAATGACTTTAAACATCCAGAAATGGGTTTCTAGATCTTATAAGAATTTTCTTAATGAAACATTTCTGTTGTATCCTTATTTAATTTGTTAAATTCTAAACTACAAAGTTATTAATGGAAGATTTGACCATTTGTTTTTTTAACTAGATAAAAAAAAATGTTTTGCATAATTAAATAAATTATTAGGAATTTTCTACTTACACCTGTCTGTATAAATCAAGTTTTTTAAGAACAAAAAGTATCCGGCTGATGAGGAAAAGGTATTTAAAAATAGAATATGGTACATTTGGGGTCAAATGTACCATATTAAAACTAAAAATACAAATCAACTGTCATGTAGTATTTGCTGATTTAAGCAACTTTAATTTTTGCTGAGTTTGGGCTAAAATGTCTGTTTGGATTTGAGAGGTTGCAGACCCCTGGTCTCTAAACACAACATCCATCTCTATAAGTTTCCATTTATTTACTGTGAATCTGTAAACTTAATCTGCAGTTTCTGATCTAAGAAGCTCAAAGAAGATGAATGTTTCACTGTTTTCTGTACTCATGAGCCCCTTCCATGAATAAGCACAATGTTTATTGTTCTACATAAAGGTACAGAGTTGCAGAGAATCTAAAGCAGTTTGACCTGCTCCATTCACTTTCAGCTAGATATAGTTAATACGATTTAATGCCAACTGTTTTTAGACTGCCTGCATTTCAGGGTTTTTTTCGTGATGGATTTTTTTTTTTTTTTTGGCTTTCCCTTAAAGGTCTAGTGGAGGATGTTCTCTTTCTGGGTGGATCATCAAAAAAAATGGTCCTCCTGATTGACAATCATTCTGATATGTTTACGTAAGGCCGTCGTACGTACTCTTTCCCATTTTCACTTACCGGTGGTGAGTCTGACATAGTGTTAAAAATGGCAAACCTTCTTTTGGAAAGTGAGCTTCCATGAGTGATGCAAACATCTACTTTTAAACAGAGCACGCTCTAGCATGCGTAGTAGGCGTTTCCTCTCGAGAGCGGGTACATACTTAGTATGGTAGAGGATCCATAGTTCTGTGGGCCACGCAGTAGCACACCAGACTCCATTCATCCCATCAAGTCATCAGGTTAAGACTAGACTAACCTTGATGAGATGAATGGAGTCTGGTGTGCTACTGCTCGGGTGGAAAGAAAACCAGCAGCCACATGGCCCTTTCTGGAACGACTTTGACACCCCTGATTTAAATGCTCTAGTTTCCATCTTTACCAGGGGTGTCTCTAATTGGGTCTGCTGCAGCCTTAGGGAATAAAATCGGATGCCTGTAAGGCGTTTTATGAAAATCTAAACGATCATTGATGAAAGCTGTCAGTATGTATGGAAACTAATCCTTATGGATGCCATGAAATAATCTGACTGCTATGTAAAAAGCTTTAGAGCACCGTTAAATTAAAATAACCTCACTGTTACGACTCGTCTGTTTTGTTCAGTACTTTGAGCACGTCGAGGAGGCCGAGTGGGCGGTCCAGGTTCTGAAGAGCACCGGGAAGCCTGTTGCTGCATCTCTGTGCATGGGACCTGAGGGAGACCTGAATGGAGTCAGTCCTGGGGAATGCGCCGTCAGGCTGGTGAAAGCAGGTGGGGGCAATTTTTCAAACTTGTCACTGTGAGATGATGTAGTTTTAACCAGTGGTATGTCAACTTTAACACACATGTATCCCTAAACATAACCACGTTTGACTCAGCACTGAGATTTGAGGCAACCATATCTTTGGAAACACATCAAATAGTAGCTCAACTTCCTTTTATAATGACGTTTATATAGGAGAACTTCATATTTCTGGGACAAAGAATGAGATATGTGGACAGAAGTAAAGGGGATTCAAATTAAAGCTGCCAAATCTTCTGTCTTTAATACACCCACACTTATACAACTGAAAACAAACTATTAAATATTGGGACAATAATTTTAATCGCTTCAGAAAACCTATTTAGTTGTAATCGCCAACTTAATGTGAGTTTTCTGAAAAAGTGAAAGTTCAGCTAACTTTTTCTTTTTTTATGTGCAATGCAGAAAAAAACAACTTTTAAAGTTTTCTTTTAAGTTCGACTCATTGTTCTTTTAATCATTTTAAACAACAATGACAAAAAAGCTGACCCCTGAGGATTAAAATGGACAAAGAGCCCACATTTAGCAAACTTGAAGAAAAAAAAATAAAATATATATATATATATATATATATATATATATATATATATATATATATACTGCCTCCTGCAGTTGGTCATGTATGTCAACATGAACATACTTTGTCATGCAAACCTTTTCTTTTCAGAATAAGATGCATGTAAAAATACCTTAACTTCTTGTGTTGCACCAACCCCACAAACCCAGAGGGCACATTAGCTTAAACAGAATCCAATGAAAGTTTCACTTTTATTGTTTTATTTTTTTCTGTCTGCTACTAAAGAAACCTGTTCAGTCCGGTTTAAGCCGTAGCCTGTTCCCAGACATGATTTTGAAATAAACAACACAATCTGTTATCGTCTAGCAGGGCCTTTTATGTAGAGTATGCAAGCTTTTTCTTAAATGCAGTTTTATCATTTGGAACATTTAGATAGAGGTGATGGATAATGTTCCCTTTAAGCACTCGTGTGTCTGAACACACACACCCACACACACACACACACATACACAAGCCCCCTGACGTCATTGAGGACCTTTGTGAGCAATATGACACGTTCCCTCTGAAGCCAGAAACCATTATTTAATTTGCTATAAACCCGTGATCACAATGAAATAAAATGTGCTGAAGCTGTGATAAAAGTATGGCATGGTCCTATTTCCATCACATGCAGTCATTTTGATTGACTTGATTGATCTCGCAGTGGAGAAATTTACTTGTTTTTTTGGCTCCACTCGGTTTCGCATGTTCACTTGTAAGGGTAGTGTGTCCCAATAGCTTTAAGAGCTGGGGGGGTGCCCTTCAACCCTTAAAATGATCCCTTCAGACCGAGGGTGGCCCAGAGCTGACTTGGGATCAAGTGGCATCCCAGAACTCATTCAGCAAAAAGAAAAATGGTGTCCGGCTGTGGAAAAGAAATGTCCAAATATAAGTATATATTTAAAATTAACCACATATGTTTTTAATAAAACATACGTTGGGTTATTTGAGTTAGACATAAATACAATTAATTTCCGTAGTGTTGTGTTAAAAAATGAATATTGCAAAATCCCTATTTTTGGTAGTACAAAAATCTTTAGAAACATAAAGTTTATGCATGACGGCTTTTAATAAAATCACGTTATCACTGTTTCTGTCCTAACGTGTGGAATAGCCACGGTCGCTATAGAAGCATAGACGGTATAACGTTATGCATAATTGTCATTGCGCTTATTTACTGCAGTGTGCACATGGTGATGGTCATAAGGCATAATTTTTCAGGTTTATGAGTAACATACCTTTGTTTTTCCTGTGCAAATCCATATAGAAAAAAAAAACGTAATCTTAAAGGTGTCAAAAATTGAAGACAATATTCAAAAACATATGTGTGATGCATGCTCTTACAGCACAACATGTCAGGTTTGTGCATGCAGTCACTATCGCATAATTACCGAGAACAAAATTTGCTTTTTTTAAGTTTATTCCAAAAAATGTCAGTCTCCCATAGTTTATTGGACCCTGCCCTCCATCCAACAAGAATTCAAGAACGCAGCCTTTTGTCTTAATAAATGAGTCCACATACCGTAAATGGATTAAAAAGGGCAAAATAGCGGTGGAGCTGTCTTCGGTTTTGCGCATGTCTTCTCTGTTGGCTCCCCACAGGGAGAAAGGTCAATGGTGCAATAAAAAGTTCTACTTGATTCACTTTGTATTAGTCTTTTTCCTGGTTCACAAAGGTGGGCAGCAGCTTGACAAAGCCATGATGGCAATTATTTTACATCAAATTAGTATGAAGTTCTTCATGTACACACATGTATGGTATCGGTATGGTCCAATACTACACAGGCAGATGTCGTTATAGGGGCCAAAAAATGGCATTGGCAAGGCACTAGTACATAGTTTAGACTTATTGTCAGAAGCGCTGGACAACATAAATCTTCAATAGTAGGTGTTTTCTGCCATCTGCTGGTGATTGGAACACATTACAGCAGAAAGATACTTTGCTTTTTTTATTTGCAATTTTAAAAAAGGGTGTCAACATCAAATTAAGCAATGAAACCCCCACTATACTGCCAGGAAGGTCACCGAGCCTGTCACTTGCTGGGGGGGAATATAATGGCCGCTCCTAACCCCTATTTGATGACAATGGGAAAGAAGGAAAACATTTCAAAGAACTTTTCAAAAAAGTGTTCTAGCTTTTCACATAAATATGGTACAAGTGTTTTCTAAGAACACGATGCAAGATAGGAGTCTTTATTAGTCCTACTAGGACCTGAAACAGGAGGAAAAACGTATAAAGGCCAAACTATAGCTTTTCCAGAAGAATCGTAGCCCAATAATCTTGAATAATCTGCAGATTGATGAAAAACTTCATTATTTAGAAATAAGAACTGAGGAAATGTAAACCAAAAATGGCATTCCATTAAAAAAAGAAGCCTCTTACCTGACTGTGAAGCATGGAGGTGGCAGTGTCATGGTTTGGAATGGCTTTGCTTAGCAGCTCCTTTTTATATAATCCAACAGTTTGATTGTTTATCAGAGGGTGCCTAAGAAAAAATGGGAGATCATCTGATTTAAAAGGGGAAAAAACAATGAAACTGGAGGCTGATGCAAAACACAAATTAATTGAACAGAGGCAGGTAAATATTTAAGGGTCCACCATAGAGAGCCAGAAAACAGGAAGTTCTGTGTCCTCTAGGGTGGACCGATCCTACCCAACCAGCCAATTAAACCATTTTGTTATCTCTTTATTAGTGGTTAACTCTGGCCTCCTCTTTGAATACATTCATGAAGCCACCCTAGAAATATATGACTTTGCACATAGGTAACAGCTTTTCATTTGCAGGGGCACAGATTGTTGGCATCAACTGCCACTTTGACCCAGAGACCTGCGTGAAGACTGTGAAGCTGATGAAGGAGGGAGTGGAGAAGGCCGGTCTGAAGGCCCACTATATGTCCCAGCCGCTGGCCTTCCACACCCCTGACTGCAACAGGCAGGGGTTCATCGACCTTCCCGAGTTCCCATTTGGTGAGCGCTTCAACTTCAGCATTTTATTCCTCAAACCGAAATACTGACAAGAAATGTAAGCTGAGGTTTGATGCATTTGTTTCCGAGCAGCTTTGGAGCCCAGGATCCTGACCAGGTGGGAGATGCAGAAATACGCCCGGGAGGCGTACGAAGCCGGCATCCGTTTTATCGGCGGCTGCTGTGGATTCGAGCCTTATCACATCCGTGCTGTGGCTGAGGAGCTGGGACCCGAGCGGGGTTTCCTGCCTGCTGGCTCAGAGAAGCACGGCGAATGGGGCAGTGCTTTGGCTTTCCATACGAAGCCATGGGTCAGAGCCAGGTAGATATTTCTCTGAGGTTTTATCCTCCTTCGTGCTCTGCAAGAATAATAAACTAATCTAAACCGCTTCTCTGAAAAGGGCCCGTCGGGATTACTGGGAGACCCTGAAGCCTGCCTCTGGACGTCCATTCTGTCCATCCATGTCCAAACCCAGTGCCTGGGGCATCACCAAAGGACACGCCGACCTTGTCCAACATAAAGAGGCCACTTCCAAGGAGGAGCTGAAGGCCCTCTTTGACAAAGCCACTGGAAAACCCTAAACCCACCTACAGCCTGTCACCCCATAGATATAGCATTAATATCAGAAAAAAAACAAGAGTGACATTCCCTCAAGTTTACAAACCCTAAAGGTTTAGACGTTTCTAGTTTTACTTTGTGCGAAGAAAACCATAAAAATGAAATTCAAAAGATTTTTTAAGGTTCAGCAAAGTGTGGATGTTTGAGTCTGTTTAGAAACTATTTCAAATTACTGTACTAAGAGCTGCAAACTTGTGCCATAACACTCCAAATATGCCTGATGTGTGAAACTAAATGAACAAATTAAAGCTACATGTGAACCAAGATCTGCATGTGAACGTTTTTGTGCAAATGTGTTGCTCCTATACCATTTTTAAAGCAAGATGTGCTATTTAACTTCATCTGATTTTCCATCTGTGGAAAACAAAACCTTTAAATTTAGTAATTAATGTGGGTTAAATTCAGTTTGAATTCAGTTTATTTATGTCGCCACTACACAAGACATGATCTGGAGGCTTTTAACAGGGACAGTTCAGTCAGATCATACGGTCACAATGGTCAAATTTTCTATCTAACGAAAGCCTGTTGATTGCATCCAGTTATTGGCTTTGCAGCAAATGCTTTACCTGGATCCGCATGTGGTGACAGACATTCACTTTCAGTGCATCACTGACTGCAATCCCTCCTACCAAGCATGCATGTGGAGAGGGAAACTACAGCAGGACCAGGTTTTGTGTGGACTGTGGGTTCAAGGAGACAGAAGCAGGCATAGAAAAATGACTTTGATGCAGTGATCCATAAAAACGCTCAATTTGTTAGAAAAGGTAGCTGTTTCCTGGGTCCATAGGTGGTTCTGTTGGTGGGGGGAAAATGGTTCACAGATGAACTATTGGCAGGGTTTCATTTAAAAAGTAAATAAAGTGAACACAAAGTCACAGTAAAAGCTGAGCCCATTGCAATGTTTAATAGAGAAACGGGACTAACCACTGAAAAACAGGCCCAACTCTTTAATGAAAGTTGACTGTAGCAGCTCAGTTTATATCGCTAGAATAGATGGAGGTTAAATTATAAGAAAAAGCAGAGAGAACATAAAGTTAAGGGTTGAAATAAAAAATACAAAACCAGAGAATGGATGTAGCATAAAAACAGAATAGCCATCTATTAGAAAACTACGATACGCAGTGTCCAAATACTTGAAATCCCTTTAAAAATTTCTATTTATTTTCAATTCTCCAAAAAGTTTCGACAGATTAGATGCAAGCAACAGACACCCTGAATAAAAAAAATAAAATAGAATAGAATTCAACTTTATTGTCATTATACTGTCACACGTACAAAACAATGAAATGTAGTTTGCATCTATCCAGAACTACTATACAGGATATTAATGTTTATTTACATGTGTACAGAGATTACGTTTGTATTGACTATAAATGTGTGTGTGTGTGTATATATATATATATATATATATATATATATATATATATATACACAAGAGTGAGAGAGAGAGAGAAACTGTAAGAGGCTATGAAATAAATATAAATAAATATGAAAACAATATATACAGATTATTCAAGAAAGTTAGGATATGGATTAGATAGATATATTAGTGGGATTATAATATAGGATAAATAATGACATAAATATATACAAATTATTAGTTAGGAAATGCATTAATCTCCATCATTAACAGAACTGTATCAACACTTTTCTAATTTGCCCATTTTAACTGCAAAATAAAATTGACAGAATTTAGTTTTGGGAGGGGGTGTCAAAAAAATTAAATATAAGCTCAGAAGCTAAAAAACTCAAATAGTGTGATAAAAACGGATGCAACTTGAACATTTTATATGTTCGAATGTTTTAAGGTGTTTTGACCCTCTCTACTTGCTATATGCGTCACCATGGCCTCCAGTACGTGATGTACGTAATTGCGTCATGGGTTTGCCCACGTGTAGATGTTTATACTCCTCGTGCACGTCGGCTGGAGGAGAAAGGAAGGTTTAAAGAGTCAATGTGCAGCTTGAAACAGATGGAATAACTCTGAAATTAAATCTTATGAAGTAAAGTGCGATTTATTGGGATCAGATGCTGTTTAATCTTAACCCTTTTTTTAAATTAACCTCGAAAAAGTACGTTTAACATATGGTGCCTTCAAGGTACGTTGGGTACGCCACTTAATCTGTGAGAAAAACGTTTAAAGCCCACTTTCAATGTATCTGTTGCAAAACTTTTAGTAACAGTAAATACCCAACCTGATACAACCTGTTTGTACATAAAAAGAATAGATTCAAGTTTTACAAGGTTATATGAAGGCCAAAAAAAAAAAAAAAAACCACCCCACACCATAATTTTCTGTTTTTATTGAACATAAACAATGACAAGTGCAATAACTTAACCTCTACTATAAACATCTATAAGAAACATTTAAGAAAAAAAAAATACATATCATATATGGAAGCAAAACGACCTGAATGGAATCAGATTTTTTTAAGATTCTGAATTTGTAACTGAATTTTTAACCACTAGAATTATGTCTTATTATTTTACTTATTTTTTTATTCACCACCTATAAATTCACATGTATAAATAAAATCAGGTGTATAAATTCAGCTTAACAAATTCCACAGCAGCAATTAATCCAAAAAATAAAATGCCACAATTTGCCTGCAAAAATTCAAATACAACTTTTCTTGAATTTTTCCACCCT